TATGATCTAAGCCACGGTCCATATTTATTAAAGGAAGTCCTATACTCCCTGGAGTCTTGGGAATGGTGCGGCATGCAGTGTCTTCTAAAACAATGCAGAAGACCCAAGTTTAAACACAGTGAGGGGGAAATCTCCAGCTTTTTAAATAGTTTCCAATCTCCCCCCCCCCAGGCAGCTAATTTTCTCCTTTGATTATTCTAATGTGTGTTACTATTCCTAGTATCACACAGGTACAAAGCTACTAGCACAGATCACAAAATCTCCACCTGGCTTAGATGAACTGTATTTTTTCCTATTTCCCACAATGTATGACAAACTAGAATTTTTAAAATGCTATTAGTAAATGAATATAAGGGAAAAGGTGGTATATAGAGTTCATTTAAATAAAACCAGATTGGCCTATGAAGTTAGGCATCATATTTTTCACAGTATCTCCCTTCCCTCCCTGAAGAGCATCTTCCCCATGGGAAAGAAAAAAAAATCAGTAGTTTAAGATGCAAATGTGTAATAACAAAAAATAATTTGTGATAGGAAAAAAGAAAGGACAAATCTCCAAAATACAAGGCAGAGAGATGGAGTTGTCATTTTTCTTTCTTTCATCTGGAGTGGGAGTACTGATACTACGGACATAAAAGTAAAGCAACACCAATGCAAGCATACTTATGGCAGGGTAAAGCCATTGATTCATTTATTCAACAGATATTTGTGAATATTTTCATGTCCTAGGTCCAACCTATGCATCATTATACATATAATTTTGCCTTTAAGCCTGAGGTTTTACTTCCAAGGGACTGACAACTTGAACAGTGTTGAACTATTACGAATGCAATACGTGAGGAAACTAAACTATATAAGTAGAAAGCATACATGAGCAATGGTCTCAAATTTGTAGAAAAATGCCTGTTGATAATTGAGTTAGATTTATTTGGCACATTGATAACCACAAAACAAGGAATTTTTTCTAGAAAAATTAAAACATACTTTAATGGGAAGACATTATTAGAAACAGAGTGTTTTATATTAAAAGGAGGGATTGCTTCCCTGGATGTTGGGATCGATTTTGAGCATAACAGAAAGCACTCTAACATGTGAATAACAACATTTTCAGATCAGTGAATTGAAACCCCCACAAATCCTAAAAAACCTGATCTAAATACTCAACACATTAATCAAAATAGCCCTGGTGCTCTGTTTTCAATAAGATTTCAAAGAAAATTTGAAAATATTTTAAATAAAAATTTCTGGCTGTGTCTGTGAATTGTAGAATGAACAAGTGATTTTAAGGACCTGTGAGCGGGCACGGGATTATATTTTAATCATTGATCTGGTGTCAATATGTAAAAATAAGGTCATAGGCCCCAGCTGTCACCTCAGATGTGCCTGAGGTCCCAACTGGTAGCTTGACAGCAATCTCCTAAGAGATCCTGAACCCCAGGCACCCGATTAGGCAATGCCTGGATTCCTGACCCATAAAACTGGGAGATTTTCAGTAACTTGATACATGGTTGCCAATTGAAATAATTCATGTGAATATTCATATTTCCATGATTATGAGTGGGTTTTGTAAGCAGTTCAGCATTTTTGATAAATTATTCTGACAGAGCTTCACCTGTTGGCTCCATGAAAGTTTCTGTTCACTCTCACTCTCTCATAATTGTTAAATGTCTTTTTTCCAGAAATTGGCATTGCAGAGGAACTTTTTTGGAGTGTTTTCAGAGTTAAATTTTGACATTGTTGATGTCTTTTTCTCTATTTCATTAACTAATGTTTCATATATCTTCGGTTCTTTGATAACATGAATTTTGTGTTACATGGAAGAGATCCTCTTCTCAGACTATAAAGATATAGAATCATGCAAAATAAAGAACAGATCCATCAAAATTTTCTTTATGTTGTAGTATATGTCCTTAATATTTGTTAAATAATTCATATATACATGTGTATATATTTGATTCTGAAAAATCACGGTGAATAATCTTTGCTTTGGAAATTCAGTTTTGTCAATTGATAAAGCTGTTTGTTGAGTCTAGTAATAGGAATTATATTTCCAAATAAAATTAGTAGGAAACTTCCAAAGAACTGGAACTATTTTAGTCTACTACAATTGTCACAAAAAAAACTGCTGTAGACCACTTGACATAAATAACATTAATTTATTTTCTCAAATGTCTTGAGGTTATACCATTCAAGATGAAGATTTGCATCATGGTTGATTTAGAAAGCCTGCGGGTAGACACTTCCCTACTACATCCTCAGGGGTTAGGAGACACAGATTAGAAAAATGGATGGAAAAAAAGAGATAAGGGGATCTTTCCTTTTTTTCTAATCTTCCTCTTTGTAAAAGAATATTGCTTCTCCCAGCAGCCAGCAGCCTGCATGTTTCTACCAACAATCTCCTCCTGGAACTCTAGGCTGACTTCTGTAACACACCTCAGAATTCCTCTAGCTTCCAGGCCTGACTGAACTCCAGAGGTATTTCCAAATTTTCTGTACTGTGATAGCCACTTTCCACTTGCCAGTACAAAAGTCCGTACTGGGTACCTAGAAGTGCCGTAGGGAACTACTGCAAACCTCATGGGCTGAAACAACCAAAATGTATTCTCTCAAAGCTCTGGAGGCAAGCACCAGGATCGCATGCCCACAGAAGAACTGCTCTTGTCTCTTTCAGCTTCTGTTAGCAATCTCCAGCACGCCTCCATGTTTCTTTTGTTTCTTTATATCTGAGAGTTAATGCACAAGCTAGGAGACATTGTAATTCACTCGATATAGCCACTCCGTCACAGATGGCCTAGGTCTACCTCGCGGAATGCTTGAGAAGCAGGCTGTGTGGTAGGGCTCTGCAGAGAGGATGAATCGCCAGTTCAGCCTTGCAGAGATTGTGTTCGGCATGCCTGTATCAGGATTGCTAATGCTTCCAGGAAAGTTTACCAACCCTTTAAACGCTTCAAGCAGCCACTACATTTACTTCTTTCATAGGACTAACTACGTATTGAAGTACATTTTATTTGTGCAGTGTTTTGAAAGAAACAATCACTACTTAATATGTGGAACTTCTCCCACAAAAGAAAAAAAAAAGAACATTTTATTTTCTTAGCTTCTGGTATGAATTTTCTCTTTATAAAAACCTTAGTTGAGGAAAGAGACGTCTTTATTGAAACCTAAACCTCAGTGCTTGATTGTGCTTAGACTGTAACCTCCTATAAAAGCCCCCAGCCAGCAGCCTGCAAGATGGTGGCTACTCCTCCCGAGCTGAGAGCCACCCCCTGCGACTCTCCAAATCCAATAAACTCTATCTCGCCGGAGAGGGGGAAAAAAGAATATTGCTTCTATTGTATCAAGAAGGCCCACCCTTACAACCTCATTTGACCTTAAATTCCACATTTAATGCTGTCATTTAATATAGTCTAATAGTTCAAATAGGTTATATTTTTAATGTGAGATTTGAGGGAGATTCATTCAATTCATTTTGTAGAAAGGATTATGAAAATCTTATATTAAAATATGTGAAATTGATACATAAAAACAGATACATAGTTGTTATTGAGCAACACTATAATATGAGATCATACTGAAGAATGATTTCCACATATGTTCTAAGATTGAGTTATATCCACCACATTTTCTTCTTTCCACAGGTCAGTTACAGAAATGTGATGTCTAGATTTGGCTCGGCCTTTTTATTTTTTCTTTTTAATTTCACAGTCATGCGGCAAGAGGAAGCATTTTCATATTGGACTTTAGCAAGATCTCTTATTAATATCTAATTGCTCCCTTTGTTATGCAACTTGCTTGAGTAGGACTCATGCAGGAGATTCCAATGCCCCCAAGGACATTTGAATTGCCGTATATGAGGAGCCAGTGAAGCTATTAGTGTCGTAGAAGATGTCTTTGTTGAAGAGAGAGCACATTCTGCTTTATATAATTATCTGAGATGTTTTGGCAAAGAAGAGCTGTAGAAATCAATGGAGAGGATCCCTCACTGGTTTATGCTGAGCTCTCAAATTTCAATTTAGACTAACAGTTATAGAAAGACCAATGGACAGAAGTTAAAGACCAAACTTCCTCCTTGTAAGTCATGTAAATGCTGTATATTTTTCATATCTAATACATCTAGTGAAGAAGAGAATTTGAAGTCTTTGATTATAAATGTTCTCAGAGTTTAGGATCAATTGGAACATGGACTATTGGATAAAAGAATAAGACTTTAATTGCCTGTTTTTTACCCCATTGTTTTTGCATACTAGCTCACAGACCCCATTCTTAACATTTCCCTTTGCAAATAGGAATTTGTACTTGATTCAAATGCTTTTTCAAATGGAAATGGTCAGTTCGTCAATACCTAGGTATATTAATTTTGATTTCTATTCAATGGCTTTCAGTCAGAACTTTTGGGGGGTCATATAACAGGCTATGTATAGCTCTTGGTTGGAGTCCATTGATCTTTTACACAACAGTACCAAGTTTCTTCCATTCACAAGAACCAAGAAGGCAAACAGAATTTCTGAATAATTTAGTGGAAGGGGTAAAGAGGCGGTAAATAAACTAATTTAACAGTGTTATTGAAGTGGTAACATACAATTCTGTGGTGGTGATGTACCACAAACAATGATTTTCCAGTTGTAGCTCATCCCTCTGGTGACAGAAAAACCCTTCAATGATCCTGAGTCTTGATGAACCTCCACTATGGGGTGAGAGCAACATATATTTGCTGGATCCTGTCCTTCCCTTCTCTGACATGATCTTTTTTTCAACATTATTTTGATAAGGAACAACTGCATTTGGAATCAGTGCAAGGAAACTATTTGATGAACCAAAGAGTTTGCTATGACTTGGATGTTGATAATAACGCCTTATAAATGGGTTTACAAGCAGTCGTCCCATAGTTTAGAGACAAAAGACAATCATTTAAATTTCATTTCCTAACATGTTCACTTCATTGAGCACAAATTAGGACATTCTCCATGCCCTCTGCTGCCCCGCCCTCCCTAGCGCTGGCTCTGATGGAGAGGAAGAACTGCTCCATGGTGACTGAGTTCATCCTCCTGGGAATCCCACACACAAAGGGCCTGGAGACTGTGCTTTTTGTCTTATTCCTGCCCTTTTATGTCTGCACCCTGCTGGGAAATGTGTCTATTCTGGTGGCTGTTATTTCTTCCAACGGTCTTCACACACCCATGTATTTCTTCCTGGGGAACTTGTCTGTATTTGACATGGGTTTCTCCTCTGTGACATGCCCTAAAATGCTACTGTACCTTATGGGACTCAGCCGACTCATCTCCTACAAAGACTGCATCTCCCAGCTCTTTTTCTTTCATTTCCTTGGGAGCATTGAATGTTTCCTGTATACTGTGATGGCCTATGACCGCTTTACTGCCATATGTTACCCACTGCGGTACTCAGTTATCATGAACTCTAGAATCTGTGTGGCCCTGGCTGTGGGCACATGGCTGTTGGGTTGCCTCCATTCCAGTATCTTGACATCCCTCACCTTCGTCTTACCATACTGTGGTCCCAATGAAGTAGACCACTTCTTTTGTGATATACCTGCAATCTTACCCTTGGCCTCTGCTGATACATCCTTAGCACAGAGAGTGAGCTTCACTAATGTTGGTCTAGTATCCCTTGTCTGCTTTCTCCTGATTCTTGTGTCTTACACACGAATCACAGTCTCCATCTTGAATATCAGCACCACAGAAGGACGTCAGCGAGCCTTCTCCACGTGTAGTGCCCACCTCATTGCTATCCTCTGTGCCTATGGACCCATCATCACCATCTATCTGCAGCCAACGCCCAACCCCATGCTGGGAACTGTGGTGCAAATACTAATGAATTTGGTAGGACCAATGCTGAACCCTTTGATCTACACTTTGAGGAATAAGGAAGTAAAGTCAGCTTTGAGGAAAATACTTCATGGGAAGGGACCTAATTCCGAGGGTTAGAAAGACACGGTGGGTTGAATCCATTACCTTGGAATGCTTTCTATGCCACTATGTGAAATTTCAATTTGGAATCTTCACACATGACACCGACTTGGAATATGTAACAGAAAAAGTGTTGTGGCCCACTGTATAATAATGCATTATCTTTTGTCTGCTTAATGTGCTTGTATTTCTAAGTACTGTTCATCCACTCATCATCAAAATAGCTTGATCTTAGTTGGTATTTTGCTTTTCTTTGAAGTTCTACCTACTGGAAAGAAAGTCTCTCCCATTCAGCATCTTCCACTATCATTCATTTAAGCCCGCCAGAGCATGTGTGAGGCAAACTTAAACAGAAAAGCAAGAATTAGGAAATGGAAAGGACTTTCAGTAAATGAACAAAAGCATTGGCATTGTCTCTCTCTCATCATTTTAAGCAATGTCAAGTATGGGGGGGGAAGTGCACTTGATTAATAGAAGCATATATATATA